ATATACACATTGCTATGTCAGTTTGCTAATAATACACCATTACAGTGTCAGTTTGTCATAATACACCTATTGCAAGTGTCAGTTTGCAATAATACACCATTACAGTGTCAGTTTGCAATAATACACCATTACAGTGTCAGTTTGCAATAATACACCATTGCAGTGTCAGTTGAAATGATACAGAATAATCTCCTTAAGTGCTTATATACCCTCACAGAAATTCTAGAAACTACTTTCATGTCATGCAGAATATTCCAGAAGTAAAAAGTGATGGCATGGTTATGTATATATGGAATGGTCTTAAACATTCTGAATGATATATAGATATATATATGATACATGATTTTTATCCTTGAGTCAGTTTAGATTTATAGTAATCAAACTTTAGACTTTAAACTTGTTTCTCACTGCCTTTACTTTCAGTTACTTTATTTACTGTGCTGTCATGCATACCTTTTTTGTATTATTGTTACACTGTGTCATAAATATTTCCAAAAACTAGACCAAAGCACTCTTTTTTATCTTTAGATCTTTTTCTGAAACTTGTTTTTTTGTGATATTTGTATTTGTTCCTTCTAGTACTTAGGGAAGATAAAAACTGTTATTTGTCACCTTTAAAAGTAGATTTCTTGGATATAAAAAATCTTAGATTGAAAAATTATTTTCTTTAAGAATAAAATGTCTGCAAAATGTGCCTAACAGGAACGTGCATGCTTTAATTACTTCAGAGTGCTATTTGCAAGTTCGGTGCTCAGTCTAGCAGAATTGGTGGCTCTGCGACCTGATCTTCTGCCTCTAAAGAAAATACTTTATTTTCACGAAAACCAGCTGCTCTATCCAGTTAGGAAAGAACAAGAAAGGGATTTTCAGTATGGATATAATCAGATTGTTTCTAGGTAGGAGATTTATTTTGGTTTAAATAAAAACTTATTTTAGTTCTTATTAGTAGTTTTACCATATACATGTAAAACTAGCAGTATTCAAAAGTACGACAACAGTGGTGTTTACCAATTAACATGTCAAGAATGTAATAGTGTATACATAGGGCAAACTAGATGTTCGATAGACACGAGAATTAAAAACATTCTAGAAGCTGGAAATTAAGAAAAATGGATTCAACCTTTGCATCTCACCTTATTGAAACCAATTTCACCCGGAACAAACTGCAAAATTTTACACATCTGTGAAAAAGGTAAAAAAAACTAGATAGCCTAGAAATAGATAGAAATCTAAAGACAAATCCAGAAAAGGTTCTAACCAACTAAAGCTCCTCCCCACTTGTCTCAAGGTTACTTCCGGTTCGTTGGTTAAACTTATATAAACCTTTTTACAAATCATTTCAGTCTGTAGCTGATGATGCCTTTACTGATGAACCCATGGTCAGGAATAAATGAAGTTTTTTGTGAAATGTACAATTGTCTATGTTTTTTCTTCAATTCTGTGAAAATACTATAGCATTATTACAGACAACTGGGATATCTGGCTTTAGTACATTGCTACTGAATAAACTAATTTTTCATTAAATAATTATTATCCTTAGATTTTGTGTGTTATTTTTAAAGTGTTTCATAGATAATATACTATTCATTGAAAACAAATTCATTCTGATCCTGCTGATACTAGATGATACTTTTGTGGAGATTAACGTGATTCACAAGATGGAAATTAAAATGTAAAAAGAAATATTAAAAACATGGCAATACAAAGATTTTAGTTACCAATATCTTGGATTTTTTTTCTAAATCCATCAGCATTAAAACTTGAATATTTAATTATTTCATAAATATAAAAAAACATCATAAGTTGTTGATGTAAGTTTAGAAAGAACAAATTAAAATGATTAATATGTTTACATTGTACAGTACAGGCTTAAAACAATTGTGGAAAAGCACAGTGATGCTGAAAACCAATAAATTAAACAACCTGCTGTACTAGATGTTGTTAAAGTGGCATGATGACAGCCAGATGGTTGTTTTCCTGTTTTAGAGCTTCCTAATTAGCTAAAGCCAGTCATAATTAAACATGAGTTCTATTTGTATAAATAGGTTAACAACTAAAGGTATCACATATTGTTAGACTGTTATTGGTCCAGGTCTGTAGTTAAAGAACTAAAGTTGTCACATATTGTTAGACTGTTATTGGTCCATGTCTGTAGTTAAACAACTAAAGGTGTCACATATTATTAGACTGTTATTGGTCCATGTCTGTAGTTAAACAACTAAAGGTATCACATTTTGTTAGACTGTTATTGGTTCGTGTCTATAGTTAAACAACTAAAGGTGTCACATATTGTTACTGTTATTGGTCCATGTCTGTAGTTAAACAGCTAAAGGTATCACATATTATTAGACTGTTATTGGTCCATGTCTGTAGTTAAACAACTAAAGGTATCACATATTGTTAGACTGTTATTGGTTCGTGTCTATAGTTAAACAACTAAAGGTGTCACATATTGTTACTGTTATTGGTCCATGTCTATAGTTAAACAACTAAAGGTGTCACATATTGTTACTGTTATTGGTCCATGTCTATAGTTAAACAACTAAAGGTGTCACATATTGTTACTGTTATTGGTCCATGTCTATAGTTAAACAACTAAAGGTGTCACATA